CAGCCTCTTATCTAAAAAAGTCTGTTAAAGAAGTTTTGCAGCCTGTAATGCTACAAGTTCGACATAATACATGTGGTAGGGAAATGATACAGTAGTTTTCTTTTTTTTCTGTTAGATTAGAATAGAATTTTAAGCACCAAAAACAGACTTGACTACAGCTCTGGCTGCAATTTTCACCGCAGCTTCCGCTGCAGTTTTCGCTGCAGTCTTTGCAAGTGAAGTAGCTACATTCTTTATTTCGTCATTACGACGATTAGGCGAATTGATGTCTTGTTGTGAAGATTGAGTGTTCTGTTGAAAATTGTTGTTTTCAAGTTTGTACTGATTTGTTAGTTGAGGTGTTGTTGCAGAAGAAGAGTAAGCGTTCGAATAAGCAGCTCCTGATTGAATAGGTTGATTTGTTACTGTGTATGTTGGGTTATTTACACTGTTATCGTTAAGGTAAATTATTGATAATGAATTTGTTTGAGATAATGAATTTGTTTGATGAGGAAAAGCTGATTGAACGGGTTGGTTTGGTGCTGTGTACGTTGAGTTGATCATACTGTTATTACTAGGGTAAGCCATTGATTCTTGTGCTGTATACGTTGAGTTGATCATACTGTTATCATTAGAGTAAGTCATTGATTCTTGATAAGCAACTTTTGATTGAATGGGTTGCTTTGGTGCTGTGTACATTGAGTTGATCATACTGTTATCATTAGGGTAAGCCATTGATTTTTGATTTGTTAAAACAGGACTAGCCTCAAATGAAGGTGGTGGTGGATATGGTGGTGGTGGAATACTATTCAAAAGCTTTCCTTTGCATAATGAGCCGCACCAATCTACTCTTTGGCCATTTTCCAGCATTTTCGGATTAATTTGACATATCGTGCACGCTTCTACCAAGTTATAATCTACCGCATTTTTACGACAGCTTCGTGAACAGTATTCCGATGGTTGGTTCGTCTTTTTATCTACGTAAACTTGTCTAGTAGAACATACTATACACTTACCACTATAGTACATATTTTCACGGTTGAGTGTGTGAAATACGTACTTACGTACGTACCAACACACTTAAAACATTGTATTTATATACACTTTGTTTTTAGGTAAACTGGTTTGACTACGCACAATATCAAAACATTCTTTCTTTGCGTGTATCGTGTTACATTTACATTAATGTGATTCGTGCCATTAAATTGAAATAACGAAATGATTGATCACTGCATTGATTATTATGCAGTCATTACGTGAAACGGTGGGACAATATACAACTAATGGCAATGAAAATGGGTGAAATGGTTGCTAAGACAAGGGGTGATCATATTAAATAACCTTTATATAGGCACCTTCATGATGATTTATATCTGTGGATTTGATACCTACAATCGAATATTATACATCAATATATTTTAACTTATCAACTGGAGATAATTTCGTTTGCTTGCAAAATTTGCATTTTTTAAATCCGTTTAACTTGAAACAAATTAAATAAACTATAGTTACTGTATTAACTTATATAACATAAAGACCATATCGTACACACATTGAGTACACAATGTTAAAAAAATTTCTGAACCATAATACTTCCGCAATAGTCACATGTTAAATCAGGAATTCTATGTTCCTATAGCAAAAATTTTATATAATAGCAGAGGTCTTTTTTCAATTTCTAACAGCTGCACTACCTTGTTTGGTGCGTCGAAAGTGTGTCGAGTGTAACCCAAATGCAAAGGAAAATTTCCAATTAAACATACTGTAATTGGAAATTTTACTTTGTATTCACAATGCAGGAAGAAGCTCTCCTTGATTATACTCGACAAATCCCCAATGCACTTTAGACGCACTAAACAAGGTAGGGCAGCTGTTAAAAATCGAAAAAGACCTCTGCTGTATATAATCAGTCAGAAAATTAAAGTGACTGTGGCGAGATTGTGACAAATGCGGATGGGAGTCTAGTGTATCACGGAAAAAAAATACTGTATTACTGCATTTACTAACACTTTCCATTCTAGCCAATCAAAACAACTAAAAATCACATTAATCTCGAAATTTCACCTAAGAAATCACTTTTCACGCAAAAATTTGGTATAACTTCACCCACTAAATCTAACGCTAGCCATATGGCTAAATGGATGCATTTTCAATAGTGTGATATTTTCGAATTACACATCAATTTTTTAAATTGACCAATAAAATTGGGATGACTAAAGCAAGGTGCGTTAGAATTACTTTTTTTTTTGATGCAGCTAGGGTTACTTTTTTGATGCAATAATGGTTAATGGTTTATATAAATATCAAGAATATAATTTATGTAGCATGTAGATTATTTCTAAGTTTATACTAAACGCACCTGGCTTTAACCAAGCTCGATTATGCGAAGCATCCAAGATGTGAAAAATGTCAACTATGCACATCGCATCGGATACCCTAGTCGTAATAATATTTTCCCGTTTTTTAATTAGGATTTAATCACGTGGTTATAATATAAAAATACAATTTTGTCACATAAAATTGAATCGACACATGCATCAAATTAGCCCATATGACTTAACCGAAATGTCAATTTTAGAAAGACAAATAATTCCAACAATAGAAAGTGTGGGAGAAATTTGGTAAATACTTCAAATAGTGACAAAAAATTCTGTAAGTAGTACAGTGTACATTTAAATGATTAAATGCAAATAAAGAGGATTTATCGTTATTTGTCACAATGTTAGACGACCTTGGATACAATTATTAACATGGAATAGGGGTAAAAAAGACGAACATAAGGCATTCATTCATTATTAAAAATCTGCCAAGATGAGAAATGCTACTGCAATAAACCAAATTGGATATTGCTATCGAAATGGAATAGGAGTTGAAAAGGATGAGCTGAAGGCGTTCATTTATTATCAAAAATCTGCTAAGATGGGCATTGCTATCGATATGGAATAGGGATTGAAAAGGATGAACATAGAGCGTTCATTCATTATCAAAAATTTGCCGAGATAGAAAATGCTAGTACAATGAATCGTCTTGGGTATTGCTATAAATATTGAATAAGAGTTAAAAAGGATGAATATAAGGCATTCATTCATTCATTATCAAAAATCTGCTGAGATGGAAAATTCTAATAGAATATATAATCTTACAGCTTGTTATAAAAATGGAATAGGTGTTGAAAAGGATGAATATAAAGCATTCATTTATTATCAAAAATCTGCTGAGATGGCAATAAATGAAATTGGAACTTGTTATTTTCGTGGAATAGGGTCGAAAAGAATAAATATAAGGTATTTATTCATTATCAAAAATCTGCTAAGATGTGAAATGCGTTTTCTATCAGTAGGGAATAGGTGTTGAAAGGAATGACCATAAGACATTCATGTATTATCAAAAATCTGCAGATATGGGAGATACTCGTGGAGTATTTGGTCTGAGATATCTGAGATATGCTATCAAATTGGACTAGGATTGAAAAGGATGAACATAAAACATTTATTAATTTTCAAAGATCATGCAATAGTCTAATTGGACACTGCTATCTGAATAGAACTGAAATTGAAAAGGATAATTATAGAGCATTTCCTTATTTTCAAAAATCTGTCAAGATGGGAAATACTTTTATAGTTGGCTGATTATTGGTACTAAATGTAAATCATCGATTTATTCAATTTTATCATAATTATAATACGGCAGGGTGAAACCTGAGTTGGCTTAGTTACGTTATTGATGCAGATCTACATTAAATTAAGGTTAGTTAGGGTTAGTTACTATTTTAGGATTGTTTTGATAGTGATCTGCATCAATAATGTAACCTAAAAAACTCAGGTTTCACCCTAAAAAACCCAGATTTCACCCTGTCGTATTATAATCTTTTAATATACATTTTCTAATACTGATTAGGGAAAAAAATATGTTGGATAATTTAAAAATTATTTCATATACTTTTAAATTTGCTTGCTAATATTTTTTTTTGCCATAGGTGAATCGATAAATAAAAATTCTAACATTGACGATGATTTTGAAAAAGTAGTAGTTGAAGAAAAATATTCATTATAATAGGTTTCATAAAAGAGTTCACAGTTCTTAGTAAAATAGGACAAGGTGGATTTGTGACAATATTTCATACTAGATGGTTAGATAAAAAACAAAATTCATGAAGGCAAGTTGTACTCAAATTACTCTACGGATCAAAATCACAAATAAAGAGTTTATAAAAGAGGTAATTTTTATTTTAATAATCATTACTCTTTCTAATAATTTATATATATTAAGTTGTCTTAGATTGTGCAAACATGGGTTCATAACGCAAATGAAATGGAAAAAAGTTAATATTATTGCATTGTATTGCTTCTGACCTTCAAATAATTCATTCTCAAGAACATAATCTATCGAGATCTGCATAGTGGTAATGTTCTACAAAATCATTTACATAGTGCGTATATTGCAGATTTGGGTTTTTCAATATTAGCGAATATAGCATTCATCAGATATTTATTCATTCAGTATAATTATGTGGGGAATATGGACCACAACTTCAAATTGAAATATGCCATAATAATTTATGTCCAACAATTATTGAAAATATACCGCAATGTTATACCGTATTTACGCATAATAACGCCCTTCTGCGCGTTATTTTGAACCCTGCGCATTATTTTGAAGCACACATGTGCTTTATTTCGAGTAAATAAACTTTTTTCAAAATTTTATATAGTCAATCCTCTGTAAATACACTCCTCTTGGGATTATAGGAAAATTTTTTTAAAAATATGCATTTAAAGAGGGTATGTATTTATGGAGAATATTTTATTAAGTACACTATATTTTTTGGCTAAAGATTAGTGTGCATTTAAAGAGGGTATACATGGTGTGTGCATTTATGAAGGGTGCATTTATAGAGGGTTTGACTGTACTTAATAAACCACATGGGTAATGTTATAATGGGTAGATTGAAGAACAGTTAACCTAGTGATATTTTCGTGATCATCACATCACATGATTAAATATTCGGCCTAAATTAGCAGACGGTCTACGGGCGCAAAAGTATCGATTTTGATAGATCTACAGTAGCTTTTTTGATAGATCTACAATACATACTAAATCTATGTTACGTTATTGGTGCATTTTAGTATATATGTAAAATTTATTTTTTCAAGACTTTGAGCAAAAATACCTCAACAGCCATTTAACAAAATCTGATGATTTTTTTTTTATTTTGTTTCTATGCTTCTGT